GCGCCGGCGGCACCGCGGCGGCCTTAAGGGCGAAGCAAGGGCAGAGGAAATGGCGCCTCCATGTGACCGAGCGGGCCCCGCCGCCGCTGGTACCGGCTGTCGGAGCCCGGCCGTGCCCGGCGGCCGCTGCGGGACTGAACGGACATCTTGGCCTGCTTCCCTCTACCTTCCACCGCCCCGGGCGGGGGTTTGCGGCATTCTGCAACGCTGTTAGGGCTGCTGCAGCACGGCCCAAATTGCTGTCCCTCTAGCCATACAGAAAAGACACATCTTGGTCTAGCTGGGCTGTCGTGGGAATCCCACTTCCCGGGGTGCTCGGCTCTGAGCCCGAAGCCGGCCCCCGGCCTGCCCGGCGCCCGGTAACTCTGAGGGAGAGCTGGGCTCCCCATGGCACTGCAGAGCACAGCAGAGAGCCAGGGTGTGCTTTTGGCGTTAGAGACGTTGAGAAATGTGCAGCTGCTTGGTCACAGGAGAGTGGTCAGGGCAGCAGCCACCTGCAGCTGCCTCGGGAATTTCCGACTTCACTGCACTTAGAGAAGCAACAGGGAGTTCTTGCTTGGTTGTTTGGTTTCTGTTTGGGGTTTTTTGTTTATTTTTTGTGTTTAGTTGGGGTTTTTTTTGTTTGTTTTGGGGTTTTTTTTCCCCAGCATACAGGAGCCTGATTTGTGACTATTTCCTCCCTTTTCAGTGGTGCTAGCCACGGTTCAACACAGAGTTCACAAAGCACTCAGAGCAGCAGGATTGCACAAGCTGAGTCCATCTACATCTGCTGCCAGAGGGATCAATACAAGGTTACGAGATACCACATGAGATTACTTCCCCAGGAGCTTTGAGCTTTAAAGTCTATTTAATTATGAAGTCAGTGGGTTGTAAGATTTGGACTTCTTCATGAGCTAAGCCTTATTAGTGACTGGAACGTGAAGCCTGGGACACTTCCTCAGACACATTGCAGTAGGAGGTAGTGCTCTCTCTTCTTTATCTGGAAGATGCATACGTCTGGTCAACACCCTGCATCCCAAAGAGTTCTTTTACACCTTCTTGCCTGAGTGTCCCAGATAATCCAGTATGACCAAGCATGAACCCAGGGTTTTACACAGAAGCATTTGAGGCTTTGCAGTTTTGATTGTCTGGGGGAGAGGCCTTGAATCTGGTACTTTGGAACTCCAGATGATGTTCCAAGGGAGCCTTGCCATTGTGGGTATTTCCCATGGAGATTGTCAGGAAAAAAGACTCTTTATAATTAGTTTGATCTGCATAACAGAGGCCATTCATTTGGTATTTTCTCCACAATATAAAGGAACTACTAAAACATATTTTTCAGAGAGACATATGTGCCACTATTTACTGTTAAGTAGAGTACTGATGAGAATGGGTCCTGTGGAAGCAGCATGTCTGTAGCTGAGAACGGAAAAAAACAAATGCATTCTGTCTGTGCCTGGCACCATGTCTTCCTTTTGCCCTCATGGCAGGCATGTGATGCTGAGAAGAAAGAAAGAAGCCTCTGCATTGCACTGTGAATTCAAAAGGTCAGCACAATTTTGAAGAGTAAAAGATTTGGGCTAGCAGTGATATGTGTGAGCCACAGAAAATGCATGCCTGATGCTGCTTAAAATTTCCAGTATTTTAGTCTCTTACTCACAGAGCTCACAGTGCTGTTTTCCTGCAGATCACAGTATCTGCTAATATCCATTAATTCCCCATGAACACATACCAACAGACTAGTCAGGCATCTCAGATCAGCTTGAGTGTTCTTTACACAAAGTTTGAAATTCTCCAGTTTCTTAATTCAAGATATATTTTCTGTAATCAAAATTATGTTTTCTTGCTGAATTACCTCTGGTTTTTTTCATTGTCCTTTTCTGAAGTATGGACACCAGAGGGGACACGGTCAATAATTACATTAATATAGCCAGAAATGAAGATCACCACTTATGTATCTTTGTTATTCCTCTTTATATGCCTGCCATAAGCGATCCCATATTTTCTCTTTCTGCTATGGAAAAAATAACTGTTCAACCAGGCTGTATACAGTTTAGTCTTCAAGTGCAAATGAGCCATCACTGATTTCAAATTTAGCATATGTAAATGATTTGTTACTTTCCTTCAGAGTTCTTTTTTTCTCTACTTCATTGTTTTCTATTTATACTTAAAAGCAGATGGAACATTGCACTCAGAAGAGAACTGCTTAGCCACTGTAGCTGAAAAGACCAATGCCAATGTAGATTTGTAGGTCTTCTAAAAGTTTTCTAAACTTGGTGTTTTTGAGAAGAGGAAAAAGTGATCATTATAATGCAAATAGTTACTCTTGCATCTAAAGCCTATTATTAGCTAAGATTTTTGACCTTGTGCTTTTCATCCTGCTATTGTAATTGTAAATACTGTTGTATGTAATAGTACAAATTAGTTAACAAATCTGACCTGGTAACAAAGGATGTGGAAGAGGCTGAGGTACTCATTGGCATCTTCACCTTGGTTTTCACTGGTAAGATTTTTCTCAGGATTCCCAGGCCCCTGAGACACATCAGAAAATCAGGAGTAGCAAAGACACCCTCGTAAGAGCAGGATCAGATTGGGAGGGGCAAGTTCTGAGGACTAGGAAAAGCAAATATCACTCCTGTCTTTGAGAAGAGCAAGAAGGAAGCATGATCTGGGCTAGTCAGCTTCATTTCAATGCCTGAGAAGATGGTGGAGCAAATAATCCTGGAAATAATTTTAGAATGAATGAAGGACAAGAAAGACTGAAGGTAGTTGGTGTGAATTTATGATAATAAAATCATGCTCAGCACACTTTCTAAGATGAAATGACTTGTTCAGTGAATGAGGAAAAAGCAATTCATCTTGTTTATTTTGACTTAGGCTTTTGACAAATTCGAAGTAACATTTTTGTAGGCAAACTGATGAGGTGTGGACTAGGTAAAAGGATATTGAAGTGGATTGAAAACAGACTGAACTTTGGGCTCAAAGGCTTGTGATTGGTGACATTAAGTACAGCTGGAGGCCAGCTATTTGTGGTGCACCAGGTTAATTACATATGGCATTAAAAACACTTTTATCAATGCCTAGTGTTTTTCTTATTTAAATAAGAGCATTTCCTCAGTAACTCCGTGGTACTGAAAGAAGAATTCAGTGACAACCTGAAAGTATGAACACTTATGAGCACCCAAAACACCTAGGTTGACTGTAGGGTGAATGCTTAATGATGTTGTCATTATTTGTTGTCAAGAGAAATTCTGGTCACAGCAGATATACAGCTAACACAACTGAAAGCACATGCCAACTTGCTTGCTGTGGCTCCCAGGAAAATACTATAGCCTCATATAGCTCCATACAGACAGCCTGTAACATAATTAGCATGCCTGTTTAAGAAGTGTGGTGAGCCCTAGCAAAAGCATTGCTCAGCTGGCAAGTGCTCCCACAAACTGTGTGTCACAACTTCCCAGCAAAATCCCATATCTGGAAAGAACAACATGCTGCAGGACATGTGTGATGAAGATCTTTCACTCTTAAGGAGAAGCAGTACTTTTGAGGAAAGAGCCTTGTTTTTCTTATGAGAAATGTAAATCCCTTTTATTATTCTATTTGAGTTTGGGTCTTGTCTATGCTGAACAGCATTTCCCAGTGGATGGATCAAGAAACATAACTCAGCAAACCCTGCAAATGCAAGCAGATTTCCTTTCGTAGTGGAGATAAGGGTGTTTCTCTGAACTATCAGTATTATTACAGCATCTACATTAAGGCTTTTGCTGACCTTGATAGCCACCAGAAATGGGAGGGGTGGGGCTGACACCCCTGCCTTTCATAAGTGTGCCAAGCAGACTTCCGACTATGTGCATGAAGATCACTTGTTATGAAGAAACTTGTATGCTGTAAGTATTTTCATTTAAATTCAAAGGTGTTAGAGAAAAAATAATCTTAGTTGCTAATCATCAGTTAAATCCCAGGTCTACACTGAAGCCAGTAGGACAACTTCTCGTTCAAGGTACAGTTTACTTAGGAGTAAGTGACAGTATCCATTGCCATTTGATTTCAGCAGGTTTCAAATGTTAATTGTAAGTAATCACAGCAATCTATAATTAATGCAATTCTGACCTTCCTTGGCTTATGAAATATGCTTAGAGCCTGTCTGTGCTGATAAGTAAAATGGACCACGCCAATCTGTCCCTGCAAGGCAAGAGACAGAGTGTGGCTCACACGTAGCCATTTAGATGCCATATGTGAGCTTCAAGGGGTCTCACTCAAACTGCATATTGGAAACAGTTTGATGCTGTTCCCCAAACTGTCCTCAGACTACCTGGAGGAGTGGTAGCTGTCCAGGTTGTTCAAGGCACTGACATTCTAATTAAAGAGTGGGGACTATTGCATTGTAGAGCTTGTAGCTGGGTCCATGCTCAGGTCCAGTCTGGTTTACTATTGGACTTTACTGGCACAAAGTGGTTTGTAGATTTTTAAAAAATGGTCAAAACCTGTTGTGTACTCTCCATTGTGAACTGATACTTCTGTTCATTACAGAATTACAGTTCTACATACTGTAAAAGGCAGTGAGATTCCCTCTGTGGAAATCTCACAGGATGTAACAGGTATTCTGTTGCTGCTACATAACTATACATAAGGAGCCATCCACTCCTTAGCAGTGCCCACTGATAGAACAAGAGAAATGGTCACAAGCTGAAACCCAGGAAATTCTATCTGAACATTAGAAACCACTTTTTTTTTTTTCCTGTGAGTGTGGGCTACATGATCTTGAAAGGTCCCTACCAACCTCAGCCACTCTGTGATTTAGTGGTTCCATACATTACTTTGTCATTGCAGAGTATCTTTCTCTGCAAGATCTCAAGGGCCTTTAAAAAAACCAGATAATTACATAGTTTATTTGGTGGTCATTTGATAGTCAAATTAGTAAATCTCATTTACATAAGAGAAAGATGTGGAGAGAAAAATTTAAGGATGAAGCGAAGTCCTATTCAGGTTACACATCAATAACTGACTGTGATTTCATACTGGCTTTATAGCAGTAAAAGCCACCAACTTCAGTGAACTTATTCCTTATTAATAGCACAGCTGGGAGAAATAGGCTGGAGACTAAACTCATCAGAGACAAATGTTGATTTTGTATTAATACCACTGCTGCAAGAAGTGGGCTGAGCCCATGTTTTCACATCTGTTTTCCTTTTAAGTCGCCAGACAGCCTGGCTTCTTGGCTTCACCATCTCAGTTTGAGGGGTTCTTTTGTCTTGGCTGGACATAGTCTGATTTACCAGGCTTTTCCAAAATATACTAGACCAAATAGCAGCCCCAGTGAGGTAGAAAAACTGCCTCAGTAAATAATTATATTTAAAAATAAGCAAACAAAAGCAAGAATGCACAATTGCAGAAGGACTTGGGCAGAGAAGAGCTCAGCAAAAATAAACATCTGGTGTTGCTTGTATACCAGCTGATGATTTTTTTTGGTAGCAAATCACCTACTATCATACAGCACATAAGAATTTCACCATGTTACAAGCCAGACTCAGCTGGGGCTGGCCATACCCTCTCCTTCTGTCAGTGTTTGAACTCCAGCTTGGAAAAAAGCTTGCACCTGAACTTCATCCATTAATTCTAGCCTAGAAACTCCCAATAATCCATTGTCAATTCAACCTGCTCATGTAAATAGAGGAAAATATTAAGTTCAAGAAGAAATTTTGCGTAAATGTTTCTCTCACCAGAGGCTGATTTTACAGTATGCAACAGAAGCAGCCACAGCATTGCTGAGGCAGTGCAAATACTAATATTGCTGTTTGCCTCTTTATTTTTAACATAATACTTAGATCAATGTGCTGCTTTCTTCATATAAATCTGTTGCATGTGGAATTAGTGCTGTTGTAGGCTTATCCCCGAGTTTGTCTTACTCATGACCAAGGTGCTTAACACAGAAAGAAAATAATATCTACTTCTCTTGCACTTAACAACACTGATTTGCTCAGTCTCTTGAACATAAGTCAGACTGAGGTTCTGAAAGTCCATTTCCTGCTTATGGAGAGGGGCCAGGACATTGCCTACTCTAATCCTGGCAGTTGTGGATTTTTTTGGCTTGGTGCCCAAAGTCAGTTTGAATAAGCACACTGCCATTGCTGTATGAAATAAA